TTTTTTTTTTTTTTTTTTTTTTTTCTTTTTGTCTTTTTCCGTGTCCGGCAACGGATCGCAACCCTCAGTGTTGCCCCCGTACCGGACCGGGACCAGCAACGGGATTGCAACCCTCAGTGCTGCTCCTGCGCCTCACTCAGCCAGTGAGCGGGAACCGGTCTGTATGTGGGATCCGAACCCTCGGGCGGGAGTGCCGCCGCGCTTCCCAAGCGGTGCACTATCCAGTGCGCCACCGGGCCAGCCCCTGGCATAATGTTCTTGAGTAGGATTTAGGAATCTGCCTCTCAACCTTTAAGGCAGCTTCAGGCCCTGGTCCAAATTGAGATGTTTACAGATTTAATTTCAGTTTCTACCATCCGAATATCCGGCATCTCATACATACATAAGTGCACAAAACATGACTGTAGGTTTATATGGAAGAGAATTAAATGCATTCTCCCTGCGAGACTTGTTTTTTCTCAGTCCATCTTCCCATCCCTCCCAGCCGCCTTTATCTTCCCAACTATGATCAAAACTTTCTCTCAAGAAAGTACTGGAAATTCATTTACTGAAAGTAAAAATGAGTCTTTTAAAAAAGTGTTTCCTCTCTCAGGAAGATTTCAATATGAATAAAGCCTGAGATAAAATGTTTGCAGTAGCCCTATATAAGCAAGGAAAGGAGAAATTTCTTTTGAGTGAGGGATTGGGAAATAAGAAAGTGATTTGCCAAGCCAAGAGTAGACACCACTATTGAAATATATCTTTTTCTAGAGTCCATTATTTGCAAAACTAAATGAATATTGTTCTCTATTTTTTTTAGCAACCTAGCACTTCACCAAAGATCTTCAATCTAGGTAACCCACCAAGAGATCAAAAATGTCATCACAATTTAAGACAGCTTCTAATATTTTAAAGTTATAGTTAGTTGGGTTTAGTAGGAAAAGCAGAAACTTCTCCAAGATTTTATGCAGATGGAAGGCAGAATTTCATGTAGTCCAACAAAAATATAAAACATGGTCTTCTAGAGAGCTCCAGACTATAATAAAGTAATTAAACAAGTAAAATTGCAAATAAAAAGAACCACTTTCTGTCTTAGCAAACAGAATAAACGCATACTGACTTCAATAGAAGTCCATTGGATGATAAGATAAAAAGAGCAAGTTATCTACTTATGAATCACATGGCTTCTCCCAGAATGTCTGGATTGTATGCCATCTAATAGAATAAAAAAGTAAACCCCAAAGATTAATTAATACAAGCTGATATCTTTACTTGCCTCTAGATTCCATCATGAAATATGTCTCTATTTTGAATTGAACAGTTCTCCCCTTTGTGTACAGAACACTCACACACACACATATCCTCTTCCCACCAAACTAAAAAGTATATACATGTCTGCCATCTCATGTATTTTTAATAATTCTAGATTATTTGTCTCAGCCTTACAATTCTACATTTTCATACTGTAATGTCATCAGTGTAAAAGACAGGACTCTACTTTGTCATTTTCAAAATAATCTTTTATTTGTAGGTCATGGAGATAAGTTAACACTGTCTGAGTTAAGCTTTACAGAGCTTATGTCTCCAGGATGTTTGGGGTTGAATTGTTCAGTGCTGCATAAGTTTTATTCTGAATACTTGATCTAACCTTGCCTTCTCTGATTTTATCATATCTCAGAAAAATGGACCACCAAAAGTGGTGCTTTTGTGCAGATTTTAGTTGTAAAACAGAGCTGAGCTGATGGGATTTTGACATTGTCTTTTGTACATCACTATGCTTCCCTACATATAAAATTAATTTTCTCACACACACATTTCCATATGTGATCTATAGCTATGTCTCCCAAAGAGTGAATTAACTTTTTGAAAATCTGTTTCAGAAGCTGATCATATTATGTTAAAGAACCCAGTGGTTAATTATTTAGTAAAATAAAGTCCTTTTTCAGAAGCGAATAATCATCCCCTTCCCAAATACATTTTTTTAAGTTAAAAATTTTCCCTCTGAGTTTTCTTAAATCTTGGCCCTTTCATATTATTTGGTGACTTTGTAAGGGACCTTACAAGTTCTTTTCTTGGTCAACTCTCCAGAGGATGACCGACTTACAAACCCACCCCCACCCCTGGGAATCAACTATAATTTTCAAATTTCCAATTTAGCATCTCGTTCTTCAGTCACACATTCTTTGCGTTCACCTAAATGTTTGGTGTTTGTCAGCAGCAATAGACTTGTGCATATTCTTTCGTTCTCTCTTTCTCTCCCTCCCTCTCTCTCACCTATGAGTCATTACAATTTCAGCAGAATCACAATAGAGAGTTCAGAACCTGTCGCCCACACCTTACTGTAAGCGAAAAGAACCAGAAGACAGCTTTCTCCTCTAGTAAATGTCAAGTGATCAGCATGTCTCCACTGGGGGCTGAATAGAAATGTAACCTTAAAGAAGTAAGTCTTTGGGTCTGAGCAAAGCTTTGAGAATTCAGAGTACAAAGTTGACTTTCCTACAAGGGCATACGATTGGGAGGTTTAGCTTCATCTATCATTGGGCTTGACTATCAGCAACACCAGCTCATAAGACAAACAGCAGGAGAATTTGGTTTGTCTCAAGGGCAGCCAGCAGAGCTACGTATATGGGGAAGGAGTGTCCAATGGTCTTCCTTTCAAGACTTCTCAAATGTAGCTTCTCTTTTCTTCACAACCAACACGCCGTGCACCACATCATTACCAATTCTGCCCGGTCCACAAAGGTTGCAAGAGGGCTGTGGAAACTCATAAGGGCTTGTACTTGGCTGTCATCATGCCCTTTATGATCAGATTGCAAAGAATTGTGCCTAAAAGTCCTTACTGAGGTTTGGTAGGGAGGATATCAAACCAGAATAACCTGAGGTATTTAACCAAAGTTTATTTTTGTGATTGGATTATTTTGTTACATTCAGACAGAGAGGAATGTGTTTTAGACAGATTGACATGATTTGGGCTGGAGATTTGACCAAGCAATCAGAGGCAAGGAAGAGGAAGAAAGGCCACAGAAGAGGGAGCAGGTGAAATCAAACGTGCCCTCTGTATTTCACTCCAGAAAACAGCTTGCAATTATAATTATCCACCTTGTTTTGCAGCTCCAAATAAAAGTGGTGTTGCACCAAACCCTACTGGAGCAGACTTCATGTTGAGAAAGTACTCCACACCTTGGAGAGCCGAGGAGACATGAGAATCATTTTAAATGCAAATTAAATTGAGGGGGTAGCAGAGAAGAACACATAAAAGACAGTAAAACAAAACCTTTCAATTTTCTTAAATTAGCAGTCTAATGTGTTCTAAAGAGCAGCTCCACTCAGATCTCTTCTTAGGGGTTGCATTTCATCACAGTATAAAATGGGCAAATCCATCACTTTCCTCTGCTCAGTGCTCTTGAATCGAGATTGAAGGGAAAATTAGAAGCTGTTCATTTGGGCTTGCAGGCTCAGAAGCATTGCACAGCTTCCGTTTATGCTCTGCGGTGTCCTGTTGAAAAGGGTCAACACGTGCTGGTGAGTAGCTGCTAACTTCAAGACTCTTCTTTTCATTTATCTCTTTGGCTAGCTTTCCTTTACAGAAGGGGAAATCTCCCAAAAGATCGATGTTATAATGCATCTTTCAAAATCTGGGAAATTTCAGACAGCATTTTCAGCTTCTTCCAGTGACTGATTCGCAGAAGGGAAGAGAGTTATTTTCAGCCGAGATGCTGGTGACTGTTCAGCGTATTAATTATAACGGGATGTCTAACATATGCTAGCCAACATAGCCTTTCCCCATTCACCTCCCATTCCTGCTACTCTTAGGTCAGTATTAGCCACCCCCTACCATGATTTCTAGACAACTTGCTCATCATATTGTTTAATCATTTAACATTCTATTCTGTTATAATTACAAATCAAACTGAAACTTGAAATTATAAAAAATAAATCATTAAGCCACAAATCCATTTTTAAATAACTATGACATTTCCCTGCAAAAGAGATGGGAGTGGGGTGGGGCATGGCCCTGTGTGATGATTACATGTAGATTTTGATGGTTTTCTGCCAAAGTTGCACACGGGAAACTGGTAATTTTCTTCCTTCACAGGGGAGGGTTCAGAGAGGCTGAGGCTGGCGTCACCTTCTGTTGCTACGGTAACGAGTTCTGGCCATTTTATCTGAAAAAGGAAGTCCAGTGGACGGTATGTATTATTCATCACTGCTCTAATCAAACAATCAAAACTGTTTGCTTTCATCAGGAATATTTATTGGTATCAAAGACACTGGCTGAAACTGCTCTTGTTTTTCTGCCGACAGCTAGCCCTTGATTTTTTTGCAGTAAGTATAATTTGCTGTTTGGGTACCTCTGGGTATTTTTTAAAGTTTTCTCTTTCTGGACTTGGTTTCTTACATTAAAATATGTATGGTTAGAAAGAAAAACCAATTGGATTAGTCTTCTGAGCTTGATTTTAATGACTTTGCTTTATGACTTTTTTCAAAAAAAAAATATCCTGCATTAATAGAGATACTTCATTTCTGCAAGTATCAGGGAAAGCCTACGTAGGCTCAAAAAAAAAAAGGAATCCAACAGGCTGAATGTTTTCTGATGAAGTGTGTTCGCTGCCTGGCAGGCTAGTGCAGGATATTATGAGGATCATTGCAATGCCACAATAATAGTTGCTGTTCTACAGACCACAATTTGTTCCCAAAGGCAGCCTGCATCAGGCACAGGCAGGTGACGATCCTGTAGCACTTTATAAAATGTGCTGGAGGGAACCACTGAAAAAGGAGGAATTCCAGGCATTCCTACAGCAAACATGCTAGAGTGTGTCATGAACACAAGGCGTCTAGGAACAGAGCTCAGATTCCCAAGCAGTTCTCCCTGCTCAAGGGGAATCCTAATGTCCCTGAATGGAACTGAGGATCAACAGAACGGCTGATGCTCAATGATGCTGTTTATCACACAGACCTTTTGAAAACTGACAGCATGTGAATTTAACAGTGTATTTTCCAGCTAATACAGAGAAGGAAAGACTGGTATGTTATCTCTCTTTAGCCTGGATCATCTGTAATATTTTCCTGAGTAGAATATATTACTGTGTGTGTGTGTGTGTGTGTGTGTGTGTGTGTATGGCTGGCAGGTATGGGAATCCGAACCCTTGACCTTGATGTTACAGCACTGTGCTTTAACCAACTGAGTTAACTGGCCAGCCCATGGAATATATTACTTTTAATAAATATTGGCTAAATGTTCCATTTTCTCATACAATAGGAAAGCTATGTCAAGGGGTGGCTTTAGAATTGGAAATGTCAGTCAAATAGTTGGATATTATGATGGAATATTTTTATTTAAAAAATGTTAAGTATATATATAGAGAGAGATGCTTTATATAGGACAGTCTAAAATATTGTGGATTTTTTTTCCTCTTTATAGGGATCTAAGTGAACATTTTTTCTTCTCAAAACTCTGTGTTTGAAAGAGCAAGGATGGATTATCCCAAAATGGATTATTTTCTGGATGTGGAGTCTGCTCATAGACTCTTGGATGTTGAGTCAGCTCAAAGATTCTTCTACAGTCAAGGAGCTCAAGGTAATAAAATGGAGAAAGGGAGGAAAGTGCATCATGTGTTGGTTTTATATTAACAGTGCAGTGTAGGCTGTAGCAGTTTCAGCTCTGCTCTGAAAGCTCAACAATTGGGTATTTAAATTCAGTTCTGTCAAACTGCTGCTGAAATCGAGGAAGGTATACAGTAGAATAAATAAATCGCATTTCTTGGATGTGGTAAAAAAAAAAAAACAAAACCAACATACCTGACTTTTGGCACAAATGCCCCTCAGGTAGCTATGCTAGAAAACAATTCCCCCACTTCCTTGTATCCAAAGCCTGTGTCTGAAAAGAATCAGGGGTGCTTTTCTCTCTGGAGAATTTTAAATTTGCAGCCACTGCCTATGAGCAGATTTTAGGGCACCCTGGCCTAGATGACTGGAATTCAGCTGGATTAGGGGCTCCTGAGATCAGTGCTGAGCTTCTCTAGCTGCCTTTTCTATTTTAGATTAATTCAGTTACTGCCTTAGAGAAGTCACCGTGCACATTCGTGGAGCAGTAAGGAACGCACCTGCTGTGAGATGTGGCCGGTGTGTGCATTGTTATTACATATTACAAGATGGACAATTGAGGCTCCAGTTTGCTTCTTGTTCTGTGGGTGTATTTAGAATGTTTTGCCACCGTGTTAAAGAAAGATGCTGGAGTGTTTTATGGGATCACCTGACAGGCAGGAGATTTTTTAAAAACATATTTCCTATTTTCCATGGAATATTTGAGGTGCTCTGTCAAAGCAACCTGATGATGGGCATGTCCCAAATGGTACACTGAGAAGGAGGACAATGTACTTATGTTTAAATAGAAAAACAGTTAAATTATTGGAAATCACAAAGCAGAGCTGAGAAGAAAATGCAGTGTTTGATAACCCTGGTGTCTTTCAGTGTTGTAGGGTGATGGGTTCTTCACACAGGGCCGTGGGAATATCCTGCCTTGGCTGTCGCAAGTGGTCTTCTGAATTGGTTGTATCTCACTCTCAAGCCAATTTCTTGTGGCAACCTCGAGGAGCAAGCCTCCTCCTTCTCTGCTCCCATTTTCCAGGGCATGACCCAGTCTTCTTAAAGCCAAGAGTGGTTGATTTGCTTGGGTCACTTCTCATTAGCAGAGCTTCAATCAGCAAAAGTGACAGAATAGCTAATTCTCCTCATGCCTCTGGCTGTGGGGAGTCACAATGCTACTCTCAGCCACTTAACGAGACATAAAAATGTTACTGAAGAGCGAGGGAATGAGAGACCAGCCAGCACCTGCAGCCACTTCTGGGTCTGCCAGTAAGAAGATGCTAGAAGCAGAAATAGAATGCAAGCTGGAAGGGCGTGGGGCATGAGGCCAGGCTCAATCCCATCATCACCAGTCCCCAGTTTAAACATTGTTACATCAGGTCCATTCAACTTCAATGAGCAAATAATGTTGTGTGGTGGGGTCGTCTGCCTGCGCTGCACAGCAGGCTGTTGGCAAAGCAGAGAAAGGGGAGCAGCAGTTATTTATGGAGAATAGAGATGTCCACTTTGTCTTGCAATAGGGACAGTTTCAGCCCATGACTGTGCGCCCCGGGCTTTTACGGAAGGAAAGCAGGCAGGGTGTGGGAGGCTCAGAGGATACAAGGCAGCCTGCTGGTTGTCAGCAGATGGAGCTGGGGTCGGAGTGGTCAGAACTGTCACCGTCAGTGACTGGTTTAGACACCAGAGCTGGGTGATGAGGAAAATGCATGGGAGGTGGTAGTGTAAGCTACTGCTGCTCCCTGGCATCACATTCATTCGAGGGTAACCGGAATGCTCAAGGAATCCTGGAGTTGCAGGAGGGGTGGGGGTTCCTGAGACATCATCCAGGGCAGTGCTTCAAAACCCCAGACTCCGTGAGGCAGAAATCCAGGTGTAAGGCCTAGGAGTTTGTATTTTAAGCAAGAGCTCCAGTGATGGTTACTGGGCCAGCACATGGGTCCAGGGATGTGCATTTAAAAACCAGTCCAACCAGTCCAACCAGTCCAGTTTTCCCCACTTCCACCCCAGAACAGAAACACTGTCCTCAGCATTAGAGGCAGGATGTCACAGTGGTTACAGACTCCTCGGCAAAATGGAAATAACAGTGCCTAATTCTTAAGTTGTTAAGAGCATGCATGAGGAAAGATTTTAAAGTGCTTAAAACAGTGTCTGCCACATAAGAAACACTACACATAAGCAAATCGATAAAATAAACATCCCAGGCAAAAGGCCATCCCTCCTCTGTTTAAGATTTCATAAGGAAGCCACTGTCTTGCAAACAAGAAATGTGGCCTAATAGATGTTTTTCTATTTCTAGCAAAAAAAAAAATAATTGAAATTCCAAATAAATTTTAAAACACAGGGATTCTTTTCTTGTCCTATCAAAACCCAAATCAGAGTAAAACTGAAAAACAGTAAGAGCTCATCTTGGTGATCCTCATCCATCGCATCCTTCATTTTATTGTAAAGATGAGCACCCGTCTCCTTCCAGCTCCTTCCCCAGGGCCTCACCACCTAGGACCCTCACCCCAGGAGACTCCTTCCTCCCGGAGTTCCACTTCTACTCTTACTTGGGGATTGTCCCTGCATTGCACGGGCTCCTCTACTGCAGCAACATCCACTTTGCACAGGCTCCCAGTCTTTCCTGGTAAAGGGCTCTAAGTGCCAGGGCCTGCAGCCCTCCCTTTCCAAACCAAATGCAAACATTTTAGCATAACTAAAGCCTGTTTGTTTCTAAGCAATGGCAGGGCTCTGAGGACCAGGGAGTATGGGGACTGGGAAATGCATCTGTATAATTGGGGTCTTGTGCTGCTGCTTAACCACACCACACAGCAGCTCTCTACTCAGCCAGTCCAGCTCCAGTGCAGAGGACATTAGTAAGGCCAAGTAGCCACAATCTGTTAACTTCTTCTTTTATAAAAAGGTCTGATTGAGATTGCAATACAGAGTTGAGTACCTGGAACTTGGATGACCTAAGACTTGTTTAGCTAAACTGTTGTGTGATTATTGCATTGTTGAGTTGTCCATTCTCACTGTCCTGCAGATATTTTTACAGACCGATCAAGTGTTCTAACAGATGTAAGTACTTTTAAAGGGGAAAGCAAGAAAATCTGAGTTTTTCTCCCTCATTTCCCACTTGACTATCCTTACATCAATTTATTTACAAATTTATAAAGTTCTAGGAAAACAGCACCTTCTATATCAATTATGTGCAAAATGTTTATCCAAAGCAACAGTTCCAGAATTATGATGTTTTTGACTCCCTCGTAGTTGTTTTTTAATTTTTCTTGGAAAGTGACAAAAGCCTGCTCCTAAGTGGAGGATGTTTTAGCTAGTTAGTGAAGGAAGAATCCAGGAGGGTGAGAAGATGAAAAAGAAGGAAGAAAGCAATCTGTCATGGGACAGATTCTTTTGGAAGTCCCTGAGATTCTCAGAGATCAGTGCTCTGTTCTGCTGAATAAAGCAGCTTGTTATTTTCTCCCGTCTCCGCTTTTCCTTGGTCTGACACTGAGGTGGCGAAGATCACATCCTCTCCCAGAATTCTACTTTAGAAAGCATGATGTGTTGCAGAGAGCAGAAAACAGTCCAGGGTCATTCGGTTTGCCTCCTGTCAGTGAAAGATGTTCTCCTGAGTAACGCGTGAGAGGTCGGTCAACAGGAAATCCTGCTGACACAGGGAGTTCTGTGAAGGTCTCCTTTAACTCAGAAGGAGAATTCTGGAGGTTGAAGATGCACATGGTGTCAAAGGTCAGCCAGGTCTGGATGTCACATCATTAGAGTTCACGCATCTTTCAGGTTTCTGATGATAATTCCACACACTAATCTTCAGACTGTAATTTTGTAGTGAACAATTGAACTGGGAGGGAAGTTAGTTTGTAAAATCACAAAATTAGCATCATGAGATTTTCAAGTTGAAATGGACAGTATGGACCACTGATTCTCTTGGGCTCCTCCCTAATCCAACTAAAACAGAACCTGAGAGGGCCAGAGTCCAGCCCCAGTGCTGTGTGTTCAACAAGCCGTGGGTTATTCTGATGAACACTGAAGGCTGAGAACCACCCTATGGATATCAGTCACTTGCTACTCAGGGTGTGGTCCCAGACTAACAGCCAGATTCACCAAGGAGCTTGTTAGGACAGCAGAATTTTAGGCCCCACCCCAGATCTAGAAAACCAGAATCTGCATTTTAACAAGATTTTCAGGTAATTTATATTAAGGTTTGAGAAACAATGATTGAATCCAGTGCACATTAGAAACACCTGGAGAATTTTTACAACCTCAAGGCTGGAGTCTCACTGCTGACCCATTAAATCGGGATCTCAGGATGAGCACACACGTGGGAATTCTTTTAATTGCCCCCAGGTGATTCAAAGGGCCAGCCAGAGCTGAGAGCTATTGACCTCCCATTTCATAGTACAGGAGGTTTTAGCACATTGTGCAGCTATTCTTGCCTGAAAGTCTTTATCTAGTCTTCCTCTTCAAATGAATCCAAAACACTGGAAAGGTACAAATGGACTTCAGTAAAGGACCACGTACCAGGGCTGCGCTTTGCATATTCATTGTATCCTTTAATCTCCAAAGAAACTTTGGGATGTAGGAATTATAATGCACATGTTGCAGATGACAAAACTAAAGAATGACACAATGAGAAGGTGAAGTATTTCAGAAAGGGCTATGCATTTGTTTTTTATTTTGGTGGCTGGCCAGTACGGGGGATCCAAACCCTGGACCTTGGTGTTATCACCATCACACTCTAATCAGCTGAACCAACAGGCCAGCCCTGGGCTATATGTTTAGACAGTAGCAGAGCCAGGATTTGAAATCAAGTATGTCTGCCTCCAAAGCCCAAGCTGTTTTGTTTAAGGCCTCATGCTGCTTATTGGGCAGATGCACCTTCTCAGCCAGTCAGGTTGATAAAATCAATCCTGCAGGTCAGTGAAGTTAATATTAGTGATGACATCACACTTCCAGAGATAGTGAAGCTGAAGCTCAGAGTGGTTCAGCCACACGCCC